GTTACAACAGGACGTTTTATTTTTTGTAATATTATGGTATGGAGCTGTGTACCCTAGTCTTTCTCCCCCTTCTCCCCCGTCTCCCCCGTCTCCCCCTCCCCTACCGAAGAAGACAGGATGTTTATGCGCATGATGTATTGCATAAAGCTGTATTCTTCTCCCCTTCTTCCCTTTAAGGAGGCAGAAATTATAGAGTTATGTCAAATGTGCTGTTTTTCCAAGTATGGTCGCTTTTATGGACAAGCGGGCTAACCCAGATTTCGGGGGTTTCTAGAAGTCTTGACCTACATCAAAAGTGGATGTTGCCCTACCTATAGGAGAACTTGGGTTTCATTGGTGCGTATATTTGTTTGGTTACTGAGAAAACTCTCTTGTCTTTTAAAGAAACTTAAAAAGGGGCAAAAAATTTACCTTCGATATTCTCAATTTTCAAAACAGCACTTTTTGGGATAGCCCCCTTGTGCTTAAAAGCGACCGTATGGTCGTCTCTTTCCTGAAGGCTCGTTTTTATATCGTCTATTTTTTCTTCCTGTTTTCAGACGTGAGCTTTCTATGGAATGTGAAACCTTTAAACAGTCGATGTGTCTTGTGTGCTTTGTTTTGTTGTAACTGTATATCAGCTGTATTAGCCTCTTTTCTCTCAATTAGTGACATAAATAAGCTTATCGACACTTTCAGCCCTGTAAGGGTTGTAGAAGAATTACTCGTTAGGACGTCCTGGTTAATTGGTCGTCGCCGATTCAACAAAGGAAAGGGGGTGGTGTCCAATGGGAACACTCCCTAAACTATATTACGCGGTTTTTAGAACACACCATCATAGATTCGAACCAGAGCCATTCATGCTGTAGTCCAACATAATCCCAGATGAATGAAACGCTTATCGTCTCAGAGATGTGTGATTATGGTTTGCCCGAAATGTCTATTTTCTCTTCGATACATTTTTGTAACAACCCTACCGTTGTGTACATTTGTACATAAGGTAACTACTCTATTTATAGCAAACAGTCGCTCAGTAGAAAGTGTGAAATTTAAGTGTGTGGTGGTGGTTTGAGTGTGTGTTCGTGGTTTGGGTGCGTGTTCGTGGTCTGTGTGTGTGTGTGTGTGTGTGGGTTAGGGAGAGAATGTTTGTTTAATGGAAATGTTTCAGATCGTCTTTGACTCTCTAGTTCTTTATAATATTCAAATAAATAATCAGGGACGACATCGAGGCTTCTTCATAGCAAACGAAATAATCATTATATTCATTCAAATTCGAAAACGTTTTATATTTTTAAAAAGTGTTCAAGTTGTGTGTAGGCACAGATGGTTCATTATTGATCTAAGGTGGATCGTCTAACGTGTATAGTATTGGATATCGGATGCGTTTTCGATACGGTTTTGTAAAAGTTTCTAGTTTTTGTGCAGCACGGGCCTCAACATTCACATCCATAGAGGCATAATGATTCGATTGAGAACTCCTAACCTGTTACAATAATAATGATCATCTCGCAACCTATATCGTTTTTCGGCAGCACGGGGCCTCAACATTCACATCCATAGAGGCATAATGATTCGATAGAGAAATCCTAACCTGTTACAATAATAATGATCATCTCGCAACCTTCTCGTTTTTCGGCAGCACGGGCTGAAACGGATATAAATACCTTTGGAAAAATACTTTCTAAAAACAAGATGCGTTTGGTCTTGGTTCGAATCCAGAAAGGAACTTTTTGGAGCGTGATTCTTCTTTTCAGCAGAATTTCGATGATTCAGTCATGTCTATATGAGCGTAGGATCGTAAATACCCACTCTCATACGATCCTGTCGCGTAGTTAGATCGATAAATACAATGCCGTATCAGTTGAACCCTTGGTCTTGATTTATCTTTGTTGTTGTTTTTTTTTTTTTTCATCTTCGTGTGTCTTTTGTCTTAATCATAATAATACTTTACCCCCCCCCCCCTCCACGCGCGCATTATGTTGGAGTTCTTTTGTTGTTGTTGTTGTTGTTGTTGTTGTTGTTGTTGTTGTTGTTGTTGTTGTCGTCGTCGTTGTTGTCGTTTCCTTTTGCTTTTGTTGATTATTTTGGTATCAATTTTACTCTGTATGTCCAGTTGCCAGTATGTCATATTATATCCAGGACTTTGTTGTTGTAACCCACTGTTATGCTACTATTAATGCACTATATGTAAGGCTGTTTATGTCTATACAACATAATATTGTATTGCTGCGTAATAATAATGTAGTAAAATGGTAATGCTTCAGTATTAATTATTGCAGCCTATAGAGCAAAACTATCATATTATTATTAGAATAAGCAACGCTTTTATCTATGTAATCATTCGTAATTGGCTTATTATACTGTGGATCATAGGCACCTCTTTTTATACTTTGGATCATAGGCACCTCTTTTTATACTTTGGATCATAGGCACCTCTTTTTATACTTTGGATCATAGGCACCTTGTTAGCTCACTTACCATAATATTGGTAGGCTATGATGTTGTTCATCTGAATTTGTGAGGTGAGCTGACATAGTGAGTTACTTCTCGGATTTTAGCCTTTTCTGGAAATTAATACATCAACGTTTTAGGTGGAGTTTGTACAATTTATAAATATGGAATATGAAAAGACACAGTAGACTTGAACAAAATGACATCAATAAAAAATCTGTCAATCTGACGCCGGTGTCGATTTTCGGCAGACACCTCCGGTCTGGGATTACGAGAAGTAACTCATTTTGTCCCCACGTTTCACATTTGAATTCACGAAAGTGCCTTCTCGAACTTTGGTCGTTTAGGAAGTTTTCAAGACTTTCGGCCAACTGGACTATAGTTACTAACGGACATAAAAGGATTAAATTCTGAAGTCCTTTCTCCTATACAACCTTTCGGTGTTCCATGGGGGTGTTAAACTTAAACCCTTACCACGCAATACAAGTCCATGGGATCTTGGACGTACGTCAAAGGTTGTACATGATAAAGTTATACAGAATCTGTTCGTACGTTCAACAAACGTGTGTTCATTATGTGGAGGAATTAATGTGTAGGAAATTTGTCGCTTTAACGCATTCGAAATGATCTGGACTAGATCTACGTCAAAGGGTACGAAAAACATTTGTTATGCATAGGGGTGATATCAGGCACTCGTCAAAAAAGAGAAATCAGAGAAACAGACATCTTTCCGCCGGTTTGGAAATTTTTATTTAATTTTTAATTTTTTTTTGGCTCAACGTCTTTTATGTCCATATAAAAACACGTTTCCATGTGATTTTACTGAAACACACTGATTAAATAAAGGAAAAAAATATGTCATTTTTCAGTTTTCAAAGAGTCTTTAGCCGTTGGATCTACCAAACATTGGAGGTCATTTTCTCGGATATTTCACCACTGAAACCACGCAACCTTACTTCCCTTTATCGCAAATATCTTGAGTTCTCTTCAAGATAGATGGATATTTACTTCATTGGAAGCAAGGCAAATAAATCAACTTTCAGATGATACCAATAACTCCTCATGCCCAAAACTTGACGAGCGCCTGATTCCACCGCGTCATGAAACATCTGCAATCATCATCATCTGATCCTGTCACAGGTTTCTGAGACCAGTTGTTGTTCCCCAGCGACGTCTTCCATGGAACGATCCTTTTTTTTCTCAGTTTCTTTCCTAAAGCATCTCTTTTATTTATTTATTTATTTATTTATTTATTTATTTATTTATTTATTTATTTATTTATTTATTTATTTATTTATTTATTCATTATTTTAAAAACAATCATTTTGGCCACTACATAGAAAATGAACCTGCGATGTCACACGTAAAGCGTGGATGAAGACTGGTTGACGAAAATCCTAAGTTCTAATGCTCCCATTCTTCCTGCTTCTTTTTTTTTGGTTATCACAAGCAAGTTTGCTACTAACTTACAAAAAAATAAAAATAGAAACAAAAAGAATAATACTGATTTAAAAAAAATCTAACAGAAAAACCCCCCAAAAGAGTGACTCAATCACTGCTTAGAATTAAAAAGAATTTTTATTCAACAGCAGGTCATCACATGGCATCATCCCGCGTTACATGATCCACCGCAGTTTCCCTCTCTCTCCATGGACCGGCCCATTACGTTTTGTGTTGTTGTTGCTTCTGTTCGCTCCATTGTTTGGTCGTGTTCTCTTTCTTGGCCTGATCAGAAGGCCACAACGTTGAGCAAATACTGTCTGAAGAGCACAGGGGAACAACGACGGTAGGCACAAACTGGAAGAAATTGTGAGGGTGTCAATTTTAAAAGCTTGTGGCGGACTCATAACTCATAACTTCATATTTGTTGAACTGGTGGTTGTTTATTGTTAAGTTTTGTTTAATGGTAAATCAAACAACAATAATCAACCAACAGTTGAACAGAAGTACAGTTATGAGTGAGTATAGATTGTGAAGCGCATAGAGCTTGCTGTTGAGCGGGGGTTTGCGCTATACAAATGCTATCTATCTATCTATCTATCTATCTATCTATCTATCTATCTATCTATCTATCTATCTATCTATCTATCTATCTATCTATGAGTCAACAAGTATTCAACATTGGTACCCTCACGATTTTTCAGTTTGTGACTACCGTCGTTATTCCCTTGTTGTCTTCGTCTGTTCTTGTCTGAAAGCCAAGTTAGTGTCTCCCTCGTTTGTTCTTGTCTGAAAGCCAAGTTAGTGTCTCCCTCGTCTGTTCTTTTCTGAAAGCCAAGTTAGTGTCTCCCTCGTCTGTTCTTGTCTGAAAGCCAAGTTAGTGTCTCCCTCGTCTGTTCTTGTCTGAAAGCCAAGTTAGTGTCTCCCTCGTCTGTTCTTGTCTGAAAGCCAAGTTAGTGTCTCCCTCGTCTGTCAGTCAGCCAGCCACTACACGGACACGCGAAGACACTGCTCTTTTGAGTTTGTCTGACAGTATGTTTGTGTGTTTATCTGTCTGTACGTTTTTGTGCTTGTTTGTCTGTATGTTTTTGTGTTTGTCAGCAAATCTGTCCGTCAGCCCGTATCTCTCTCGTTCTGTGCTTTTTAAATTTATATCTATCTAATCTCTCTGCCTGTCAACCTACCTGTTTCTCCACTCACTTAGAACCTCCCACTTAAACCACACGAACTCATCTCTTTTATGGTTCTTTTATCATCAAACTTCTCACTCGCCCCACCCCCAACCTTTTTTTCGGCCTTCAAACTGACCGACAATGTGTGGACGAGATGCATGATGTTACATTCATCCATTGTCCCTTGAGGCTGTTGCCAGCAGATTATTTATTTATTTATTTATTTATTTATTTATTTATTTATTTATTTATTTATTTATTTATTTATTTATTTATTTATTTATTTGTGTGTGTGTGTGTGTGTGTGTGGGGGGGGGGGTAGTAGAGGTTTTACGGCGCTCGCAACTACATAAGGTCATATGAGTGCCAAGGGGTGGATGTCAACAGACAAGTCCTTACAGGGAATCAGACTTACTCTGCTCACCTCTCTAGCTTCAACAGCACAAAGTCTACTTCGACTATCAAGGCAAACCGGAAATAATGGGTCACAAGAGTGTGACAAACATACAAAAGAAGTAGAGGAAATGACGATAATTTGGCGATGCCACTGACTGAAGTGTCTTTAGGCCATTCCCAAAGGGGGGGGGGGGACATTTCTCGTTCTTATGCACAGTAGCATTGTAAACGATTCAACAATGTTATACTCATAACGGTGTTTGAACTACAACAGGGAATTGCTGCTTTTTCTTTCCTAATCCTTACTATCGTCATTTTACTTTACTTCTCTTGTTCTTGTGACCCGCTATTTTCGGGGTACCTTGATAGTCGAAACAGACTTTGTGCCGTCGAAGCTAGAGAGGTGATCACAATAAGCCCGATTCCCTGTAAAGACTTCTCTGTTGACATCCACCCCTTGGCGCTTATATGACCTTAAGCATTTGCAAGCGCCGTAAAACCCCTACAACCCCCCCCCCCAAAAAAAACCCCAACCCCCCCCCCCAAACAAACCTTTTATTTGTTTATTGTTTTTGTTTGCTTTGGTTTTTATTAAGTTATTTGTTTTTGGTATTTTTTGTTACGAACGTACTGTGTTGTTATGGAGTCAAAGATGGTGTGTCTTTCACTCTGTCAACAAAATACACAAACAACCGCCCCCACTCTGCAGAACGGTGATTCGGTGGGTGCTTTGGTGTTGTCTGCTTCTTTTACTTCTTTTCAGTGTAGCTCTTATTGTCATTGATATAGATATATATATATATATATATATATATATATATATATATATATATATATATATATATATATATATATATATATATATATATATATATAGCCCGCCTGTCTACATCGGATTATCAGGTTGTTTTCCTCATTAGAGTATACTCATGACCATAATATATCCTACCACAGTATAGCGGCGTCCAGAAACCGGAGATGGTATGTACACGTCACCAATGTTCTCTCTACAGCTAGTTGTATTCTTGTTGTCGCTTCCCACTTTCCTCGATACTGGCATCTATAAATAGTCACGTTGACACTTCGTTTCGCTTCTTCTTTTCTTTTTATTTAAAAAGCAAGTTCTTTCGTACTACCACTCTATAAAGACTCTTTTAGCGAAAAATGTAAGTTATTTTATTTATTATTATAGTAGAGGGTTTTACGGCGCTCGCAACTGCTTAAGGTCAAATGAGCGCCGAAATGTAAGTTAAGTTAAAGCAGTTAAACTGCAAGTGATTTATTAAATTTTAAGTTACACTTCAGTATTTTGCTTGTAGTGTTTTGCTGAAAAATACAAAGTAAAGATGCAAATACTTAACACAAAACTGTTATGTGTGCAATGACTAGACCTACTTATTTTTCAAATTTTAAGATCTGATATATTTGTATAAAAAGTAATGCGCATTGAGCATTTTCTTTTTGAAAATGGAAATGCGCAGCATAACTAGATCTATGTTATTATTGTTCGTAGTTTTTTTCTTCTTCGAATCAGTTAAGGAGCCATGCACACAGAAGAGTTTACTAGATCTACAACAAGTTGCAAAAAACGAACATTTTTTTCTAAATAATTACCAAATTGTTATATGGGTATATTTGTCAAATGTATGACTTTCTCACGATAGCAATATGATCTGTATGAGCCGGTTTACAAAGCGAACCAAACGTTTCTGTCAACGTGACTGTTTTGCCAGTATTACGCGACTGCTCGGTGTCAGAATTCGTCATACTACTACGTCATTTTTCAACATGGCGCATGGCGGACTCTTCCACTAACTATAAGCCGTCGACATTTTGTTCTTTCGCCTCTTTGTGTGTCAGTGACGATGTGAAGAATTACGCCCTAAAGCTAAAGCTGGGGAAACGTGTAGGCCAGAAGAGGTGCTAGAATAAAGATGATTAAGCTGACAAAAAGAAATTTATTTTACCATCTACGAAACTTAAAACAATGGGTGAGAGGGCATTAGAATACCAAGGCCCCAAGATCTTGAATGCTTTACCTAGTAATTTAAGAGAGATCAAATCTTTTGATTCATTCAAATGTAAGCTGAAGTCCTTTCTGTTTCTAAATAAATAAGATGAATATTTCGAGTGATTTTCTTTAAGTCAGAACACAAAGATTTATGTTACTGTTGTACGTTGCACTGTATTGTAAAGCACTCAGAGCCTGTGTACTTGAATCGGGGTGAAGCGCTGTATAAATGCCATTTATTATTATTATAATCAATTAATGTAATGAAATATTAAACATTATGGAATTCACTGTTGATTCGGAATTAAAAGGAGGAGATAAAGTGAATTTATAATAATATGGTTTTTGTTGACGTTTATCTTTTGATCGAGTTGGGATAGGGTAAGGGGAAAAGGGTAAGGTTAGGGAGGGGAG